GGAACTGGGGATTGAACTCATGCCCTTGCGCTTGCCAGGGAAGCGCTTATTCCACTGAGCCATCTCCCCGGCCCCTAGAATCTACTTTCTGTCTCTATGGATTTTCCTACTCGAGGATACTCATATAAGTGGAATCAAACAATATTTGTCCTCCAGTGTCTGGCTAGTTTCACTTAACAAAATATCCTAAGGTTCATCTGTGCCGTAACATGTACCGGAGCTTTGTTCCCTTGCATAACTGAATCATAATCCTTAATATGCCTATACAGTCATTCTTCAGTATCCAAGGGATATTACTGGTTGCATGACCTCTACTCCAAAGGGTAGAGGGCCGGCCAAATAGCTCGGCAGATTAAAGCACCTGCAAGCAGGTGCAGGGGCCAGGGGTTCAATTCCCAGGCCTGCTGTGCTGGCCCTGCCCCCGGGGTGCACTGAGACATCAATTGAGACGGGTGTGGTGGTATGCACCTGTAATCCCAGCTTTTGGGAGGTTGTAAACAGGTGGATCACTATCGATCTGATCTAGTATTGAAACCCTGAACACTTGGTAGACCCTTCCTTAAAAAACAAAAAAAAAAAAAATGAACCAAACAAACAAAGGTTAACATGATCTGAGGATATTCATGTCCCTCATATAAAGTGTGCGTAGTATTTACCTACTATAATTCATGTACATCATCATCTATACTTTTTTTTTTTTTTTCAGTGCTGGGGATTGAACTCAGGACCTTGTGCTTGCTAGGCAAGCCCTTATTCTACTGAGCTATCTTCCCCAGCCCCATCCTATGTACGTGTGTGTGGTACCAGGGATCTAACTCGGGACCTTGTGCTTGCCAGACAAGCACTTACTCCACTGAGCTATCTCCCCAGCTCCTTATATACTTTATTTACTTGAGATGGTGTTTTTGCTGCACAGGTTAGCCTAAAATTCCTAAGCTCAAGTGAGCCTCCTGCTTCAGCCTCTTGAGTAGGTGGCTCTGTGGTTGCATACCACTAAGCCCAGCATCCTTTGTGCTGTAAACCATCTCATACTACTTATGATACCTAATACAATGTTAGTGCTTAAATAGTTGCTATACTGTATTATTCAGGGAATAATGATAGAGCAAGAATATCTGTATATGTCTAGGAAAGACACCTTTTAAAAATTTGTTTTTGGGGCCAGGGAGATGGCTCAGTGGAACAAGTGCTTCCCAGGCAAGTGCAAGGGCCTGAGTTCAATCCCTGGTTCTGTTAAAATAAATAAATAAAATAAAAATTTATTTTGTTTTGGGAATACAATTTGTATTCTGAATTTTTTTTTTTTTAATCTGAAGTTTGTCAGATCTGTGGATGTGGAACCTGTAAATACAGAAGGCTGACCATGCAGTGTCAGTTTATCATTCACCTGTTGATGGGCAGGGTTGCTTCCACTTTTGGCTGAGGTGAATAATGCCGAGTGAACATAGATGTACAGGTAGTTCTCTGAATCCCTGGTTTTGATTCTTATGGGTATAGTACAATTGCTAGGTCATATGCTAACTCTATTTTTAACTGTTTTGAGAAACTGCTAGACTTTTTTCACAGTAGTTGTGCTGTGTTACATTCCCACCAGCAGTGCATGAGATTGCAGCCAACCCTTGTTTTCTGTTTCTGTTTTTAACTAATAACCATCCAAGTGGGACTGAAGTGATATCTCATTGTGGTTTTAATTTGCAGTTGCCTAATGACTAGTGAGGTGGAGAATTGTTTCGTGTATTTTTTGGTCATTTGTACATCTTCTTAGGAAAAATGTATATTAAATCCTTTGCTGTTTTTCAATTGGGTTGTTTGTTTGATCATTGGGTCCTAAGAGTCATATATGGTGGATACTGCTCTCATATGGTATGTATGATGTGCAGTATTTTGGCATCACTCTCTGTTGTTTTTGTTTTTGTTTGTTTGTTTTTGTTTTTCTTGAAACAGAATCTTACTATGTAGTACAGGCTGGCCTCGAATTTGCAACAATCCTCTTTCCTCAGCCTCTTGAGTGCCAGGATTATAGGCCTGCACCATCACATCTGGCTTTGTTTTTTTAAGAAAAGGTTTCACAGTGTAATTCAGAACATGGCTATATGGCCTAGGCTGTTCTCAAACTCAGCAATCTTCCTTCCTCACCTTCCCAAGTGGTGGGATTACAGGCATGCACCACCATACCTGGCCTTTCACTGTCTTCAGGGTGGTTTTTTTTTTTTTTTAATTTATTTTATTTTATTTATTTGTGTGTGTGTGTGTGTGTGTGTGTGTGTGTGTGTGTGGCCAGCTCAGCCCACCAGGGGGCGGGGCTGGCTGGCATGTGGTGCTGGGAGATTGAACTGTGGTCTCTGTGCTTTGCTAAGCTTGTTCTAAGTAGGTGCTTTAGACCACTGAGCCATCTCACCAGCCCATTCAGGGTGTTTTTGAGTGCTGGGATTACAGGCTTGAGCCACCATGCCCAACTTTTTTTTTTCTTTTGTTGCCTGTGCTTTGGGTGTCATGTCAAAGAAATTAACAAATCCAGTGCCATGAAGATTCTATTTTAAAGCACAGAGTTTATTGTTTGAGTCCTTGAAAGAAAGCATGAGTCCATAATGAAGTGTGGAGTGTGGCTTTCGGAAGGATTCCTTCAAAACAGAAAGCATGGGAGTGGGGAGATAGCTCAGTGGTTTAAGTGCCTGCCTGGCAAGTGCAAGGACCCAGGTTTGCTACCTGATACTGCATGCCATGCCCCTGAAACTGGGTGTGCTGGCACACCCTGTAATTCCAGCGCTGGAGAGGCTGAGACAGGGATCACTACGAGTCCGAGCTGCATAGTGAGACCCAAAAACAAAAACAAAGGGTTGGGGCTGGGGAGATGGCTCAGAGGAATAAGTGCTTCCCTGGCAAGTGCAAGGGCCTGAGTTCAAGCCCCGGTTCTGCAAAAAAAAAAACAAGGTGTTCAGAACACTCACTCATAATACCTGATGTCTTGATGTTTCTCCTGAAGGTTAACACATGATAATATCTTTCCAGCCTGTCATGTTCATGAAGAATTGTTGCACTTCTGGAGATGTGTGAGGAAATTTTTTGACCTAGTGAAATTTTTTGACTCTGTTCTTGTTGGGGAGACTTCACAGTGCAGGTTCAAATGGTATCAAATTCCATGGGGCAGAAAGCTGGATGCTGTTGTTGGGCTGGACCTTCTTGTAGACAGGCATGGCCCATGGAACAACATTTTGGCTCACTTTTTCAGTTACCTATGACTTTCTGGCCATGGAAGACATAAACAAGGATCGGATACAAGATGTTGTCTTTCTTCATAAAAATACCAACAGCAGTAACAGTTTCAACCGATCCTGTGCTGATGAAGGTAACTTGATTTTATCTGAAGAAGGAAGGACTCCCTGTAGGAAGAGGGATTGTTGTTTTGGTTTACCCTCTCCCTTTTATAGTGTTTGAGGGAAGTGAATGTGGGAATTCTGGAAACCATCCCCTCATTCCTCCTTCTTAGTAGGACCAGGAAGAGACCAGGAGTCAGGCTCAGCTCCTCACCTGCTTGGAGCCAACACTAGAGGCCCATGAATCTGAGAGCGAAGGGGCTGGATAAGGAAATGGGCCTAGGGGCAGGCCTGGGGCAAGGTGTGATGAGGGCAGCAGCAAGTGGGAAACAGCAGGTGGTCTGACAGGTAACTAACTGTGGGTCTCCCTTCCAGGCTTCTCCTCTCCCTGTGCCTTTGTGGCTGCTGTGTCAGGGGCTAACGGCAGTATGCTCTGGGAGAGGCCTGTGGCCCAAGACGTGGCATTTGTGGAATGCACTGTGCCCCAGCCATTGGACAGTAAGACATCCTCAGCCTGCATCCTTGTGGGAAGACCTGGCTCTTTTCTTGCCATCAACTTATTCACAGGTGAGGGCTCTCACTGGGGTGGCAGGGGGTGTCAGCCCTGAGTGCTACCTCCAGGGTGGCCTGCAGAGCCCTGCAAAGGATGTGGGACCCCTTGAAAATCATGTGCCCTGGCTCTCTCAGCTCCTCTGGCACATTATGTCTGGGCCACATCATCTCAGGCTTGCACCTTGCTGTGGGTCAGTGTAATCACATGTCACCTGCCATGAGGTGAGGAGCTGAGGCAAGCTGAGGAGGAGGGGTGCAAAGTGGCTACTTGGGCCCCTTGGATATCCAGGCCTATGAGTACTCAGACACCCTTGGGAGCAAGTCTCTGAGCCTGAGGGGAATAGTACATGTGAGCACCAGGAGAGGAAAGCATGGTGAGTAACTTGAAAGCCCTTGGCACCTTGCCAAGGCCACAAGGAATTCTGTGCCTAGGATTTGATGGATAATGACATTTTTCTTGGAAGTTGTAGTTTTAAGACTTTAGGGAGGGCTCGGGGAGATAGCTCAGTAAAATAAGCAATTGCCTGGTAAGCACAGGGTCCTGAGTTCAATCCCCTGTACCACGGGGGGGGGGGGGGGCGGGAGAACAAACCTTTAGGGAAAACAAAGAACAAGCTAGAGGGGCTGGGGAGATGGCTCAGTGGAATAAGCGCTTCCTTGACCAGTGCAAGGGTCTGAGTTCAATCCCTGGTTCCACCCAAGCTAGAAATATTTTAAGAATTGAGGAGTAGATCCAGAAACAGATATGGATGGGTTAGTGTCCTGTCAGAGCCTATACTCAGCAGGCCCAGCACTGAGTGTGACCTGCCTGGTGCTGAACTGTATTCCTGTCACCCAGCAGAGGCAGAGTCCCTGGTAGCCTGGAGTGCTGGAAGTTGGGTACCATCTTCTGAGCTGGAAAAGGTCACTTGGTGTAGAACAGCCTGTGCTCATTGCCCCAGAGCTGGAAGTCCAGATATGAAAGGAGGAAGGGAGATCCACAGGCCCCAGGAAGGACCCTCTTGGCTTTTGTCATGTGGCTAGCCCATGCTTCCTCACATAGGCCTGTGTGTGTGTTCAGAAGTACTGTGTCTATCCTTTGACAAGGACTGTTAGGCCTGCCTACATACATTTCTGTTTCTGAGAGTGCAGTGGGTCTGGGATCCTAAGGATGGACACAATCACGTGAGTGGCTATGGAGGGGTTTGGAGTGGTGTGCAGTGACAGTATGCTTGGTTTTAGGGGAAACCCTGTGGAGCCACCCCAGCAGCTTTGGTGGGAACACGTCTATCCTGAGCCCTCTGCTCCAAGTACCTGACATCGACAGTGATGGTGCCCCAGACCTGCTGATCCTCACCCAAGAGGGAAAGGAGGTGCAGACCAGCGCAGCTCTCCTCCCACATCACCCAGGCCACTCACCACTAGCCTCCCTTCTCCTCCTCTTTCACTTCCACTTCCCACAGAGAATTTAGGTCTGAGGCTGTGTTCCTGAGGCCCACAGATCCAGGGTGCTGAGATGGCCCCATCTCTGTAGGAGCTTGTGTACCTTCCCCAAGAATCACAGCATGCCCTTCCCACTTGTACTGCTGCTGTGTTGGGGTGAGACTGCAGGCCCAGGGCTGCCCTGCACCTCCAGGCAGGCTGTTCCACAAAGAGGCACAGACCATATGTCATAGCACTCTTCCCAAAACAAGAGAGCTTCGCCTTCTTTGGCTTCACCCCAAAAGCCCTCCTTCCTGTGGGCCAGCTCTTCTTCTTTGTTGCTCTTCCTCGTAGGTCAGTGGATCCATCTATTCAGGCAGCACTGGGCACCAGATTGGCCATAGAGGCAGCCTCGGTATGGATGGAGGCAGCAACCCCCTTCTTCATGTCACCAGGACGGGTGCACACTACATTCTCCTGCCCTGTGGTATGCTCTCCCACCACTTTCCCATGGCAGGCTCCCCTCTCATGGTGGCACTGGGTTAAAAATGTAAGCACAAGCCAGGTGTGGTGGTGCACACCTTAATCCCAGCACTCTGGGAGGCTGAGCCAGGAGGATTCTAAGTTCAAACCCAGCCTAAACAATTTAGAATTTTAGCAAAGCCCCTCAGAATAGCCTGAGGCAGTAGCTCAGTATGGAAGCCCTGAGTTCAGTCCTCAGTATACCAAAAAAAAAAAAAAAAAAGTGAGCTCAGTACAATGGAAAAAGCAGTATGTGCAACAACCACCTAAAAGTGGTGGTTTGTACTCAGCTCCTGCTCATATTTCAGAGGCACCAGTTTGTCATTGACTGTCAGAGCCCAAGCGCCAGCACTGGATGTGGCACCACATGCTATTGGAAGTAGGGCTGGTGGGTTCCCCTGGACCCAAGGTCAGTGTGACTCTGGTGACAGTGGGTTCTTCTGTGTTTTGAATAGCAAGCTTCCTCTGTGGCTGTTCTTTGAAGAATCTCTATGAGAAGGTGACTGGGAAAGATGCCTTGTTTAAAAGTGACCCCCACTGGGAGGACATGCTCAATGCCTCCACCCACAGGCTCCTGCCCAGGTTAGTCTGACACAGAGGGAGTTTTCCCATAGGTCACAGGCCTTGGTGAGGAACACGCTGTGCAGCATGGGACAGCTAGGTGGTCCAAGGAACACTGGGGTCTTGCTGGCCTCTTAAGGCCATCCTGCCATCAGATATGAGAATGGGGCAAACACTAAGCAAAACTGAGGAGAAAGGCTCCTCTTGGGGGCTTGTTCTTGTTCCCTGTATATGTTTCCCAGCTGGCCCACTGAGAAATATAGGGCTCAGCCCCCACTTGGCTGGGTTCCCTGAACTAAGACCCATCCTGAAGGTCCTATGCTTTTCCCTCCCACTCCCCTGTCTAGCTCTGGAACAGTTCAATTCCTGATGAATGTCCCAGGGAAGGCTGGCCAGGATGTGCTCCTCATTAGTTCAGAGGCCTGTGTGCTGCTGGATGGACAGGAGCTGACTCCCAGGTGGACCCTCGGCACAGTCCAGGTCCTGAGGTATGGGGCTTTTGTCCCAGAGGTGTGCAGTTGCTGCACACTTTGCAGTGGATGCACCTGTTCCCCTCCCTGGCCTCCCGGCAGATCCCACTGGCTGGTAAAGAGGATGAGAGTTGGGCTGGAGGGGCTGAGATTCTGCTGGAGTCCCCTTGCCTGTCCCTGCTGGTGCCTTCACCCACAGGGGGCCCAGGGGATCTGCTAGTCACAGATGTCTGCTCCTGGGCCTGGGGTGGCCACTGAGGACTGAGTGGCATCTTGTCACCAGGTATTTCCTTCATTTTAGTCTCCTTACAGAGACCCCTGTGAGCTCTTTTTCCTTGATGTTTTTTTTCTAGAAAACCTATCCTTGGCCAATATAAACCAGACACGCCAGCTGTGGTCATTGAAAACGGAACTGGCATCGATAGACAGGTAGGCCTGTTTCTTCTGGAGGTGCCATCTTGCCTGTACTGAGGACCATCGGTGAAAGCAGATATGGCGTGGCCCTGGGGCTGCTGCCCCCAGAGCTGGCAATAGGTTCTGGCCTTCCTCAGGGATGGCATGCTGGGGGGTGTGCACATGTGCAGGCTCTGAGTTCCTGATAAGCAGTGTATCCCTTTGCTCCCTAGATCCTGCTTCTGGACCTCCACAGTGGGGCCATCCTGTGGAGCCAGACCCTCCCGAGCTTCCCCGGGGCCCCACCATCCACCAGCCTGCCAACTGCAGACCACCGCTCAGCCTTCTTCTTCTGGGGCCTCCATGAACTGATTGGCACCAACGAGATGGTATGGGCCCCTCAGAGAGAACCCCTGTGTCAGGAGCCATGGCCAGAGATGCCAGGCTTGGGTCCTCAGAAGGACTGAGGCCATCACAAATTCACTAAAGTTGAGTGAGAGCTGGTCTCAGCAGTGATACTGAGGAGAAAGTATCCTGTGGGCCTTCTTGGGGATGCATGTAAGGGATCCAGGAGTAGGACTAGGTGGGGGAAGGAAGGGATTGCAGCAGAGTGTAAAGCTTGAGTTGGCAGTTTGTGAGACCCCAGATAGGATCTGTGGACATAGAACTATAGGCATGGTTGTTCTAACAGCAGTGCCCATGGGTTTACCCAAGCATTGCCAGGGATGATCCCAGAGTCACAGGCTGATTAGGATGTGGCTGCAGCCCTAGCATAGCAGAGTGCAAAACTCACTGCTAGTTCTTGGCCCAGGATCCTGGGGATGCCCAGCACAGTTTGTACATGTTCCACCCTACCCTGCCCAGCGTCCTGCTGGAGCTGGCCAATGTTTCTACCAACATCATCGCCTTTGATGGTAAGTATAGTTGGGCCAGATCATCCCGACCCCAGCTCTGCTGTGGCTAGTCCTGCGAGACACTGATGGTATGTCCTCCAACAGTGGTCCTGTTTGAGTCAAGTCGCCATGCTGCCTACGTCCTCCTGACAGGCCCAGCAAGCTCGGATGTGCCTGGTCTGGTCTCTGTAGTCAAGTACAAGGTGCGGGATCTTGTCCCAGGCAGCAGAGTGGTCCACCTGGGTGAAGGCAGGCCAGACAGTGACCAGGCCATCAGAGATAGGTTCTCCTGGCTACGGTATCGGAGTGATGTCTAGGTGGTGCCAGTGGGAACCCACGGAGAGACGACAACTGCAGAAACCAAACCTTCTGGGACATCCACCCTTCCCTGTGCCTCCACACTGAGACTAGTGACAGTCTCCCCTGGGGAGCCATGGCTTTATATGTTACACCCAGGGACTTGTGTGGGAACACCCTGGGCCTCCAGACCAGGACACCACAGCCATCACTCCATCACAACTTGTGTCCCATGGGGTTTGTACAGGCCAGGATACCTCCCTGTGCTCTTGCTGGGCAGTTCAGGCCTGTGGCTCCTCATCCTCACTAGGAGCCCCTGCCAGACCACCTTCCCTCCCACCAGAGAAGTCACTGCTATGGGACGTGTTGCTCCCCAGGGCTGTCACGTGTCCCTTCCTCTTCTTCTTACCTGGTTCTGTCCTCTGCACCATCCTTGCGGAATAATGAACTCAGAGGGTGGTGAGCCTTGAGGATACCTGAGGCCACATATCCTCAAGCCCTTCCCAGAGCAGAGGAAACATTCCCATGCAGGTGGAGGAACAGGCCTTGGGTGTGGGGTCTCCCTGACTGGTGGACAGAGCCAGCTCTAGAGCTCATGGGTGCCCTTACTACACACTGGATCTGCTGACCCTAAGCAGGGCCCTGTGGCCCTGGCATGGTAAGCAATGCTGCTTACCTGATACAGGAGGACTCACCTCTGTGCCTTCTTGCTCCTGAGGCCCCGGAGCAGCTGTGCTCCATGTGCAGCAGCCCTGCCCAGCCCAGAGCCCAACCTTTGTAGCAAAGTAGCCTGACTGTGTCACCACAGAAAACACCAGAATAAACATTTTTACACTGTCCAGAAAAGCCCCAAGTATAAGCCTGCTTGGTGTCTGCCTGCCTGTCTCTGCCCCCAGGAAACAAAGCACTACAGTAGTGATAGGAATTTTCAGGCTAGGCTTCCAGGCCATGGTAATGGAGATGAGAAGGGGGGTGCCCCACTCATACCTGCCCATAAACACAGCACCTGGCAGTCTTCGCATAGCCTCCAGGTATGTCGCAGCTGTGAGTAGCCCTGCGGCACAGGCCAGGCACTCAGCCCTAGAGTGGGTCTCCTAGCTGGGACAGGCAGCCTGTGGTCTCAGCACCTGTCCTCTGGGCAGCAGAAACAGCCACATCATCATGATGGAGGAACAGGGGTGACCACTACAGCAACAGGGAGCTCAGAAGGGACTTCTGGAAGATTGAACTCATGCCAAACAATGATCAGCCCTTGGGGAATGCTGTAGGGGTTTGCTGTCTGCGGAGTTTTGATGGGAGCCAGGCATTGAAAGAACACAAGCATAGCTCTCTTCTTCCTCCTGCTTGGGAAGGCCCTGGGTGGGAACATAGAGGTTGAGGGTAAACAGGTGGGTGCTGAGCCAGGAAGTGGCTCCTGTGGTCTCAAGAAACAAGGGAACCTACCCATGGGGCCCTGAGTACTGAGGAGCTGTAGGGACAAGCTGTGAATATGAAAACATGGAGCCCACCCTTCCACAGCATGGGCTGGAGCACATGAACCCTCAGAGAAGCTGTACCAAGGACCCAGAGCCTGCTTCGCTAGGGCATCCTGTAGATCACCTCGCAGCTCCTGGGGACTAGAAGCCTGTTTTACATGAGTTGAGAGGCCAGCAAGAGGTTTCTCTTTTCTCCTGTGGTGGCCTTCATGCCCTAGACTTGTCCATAAATGTCCACATACCTGTGACCACTTGAGTCTTGGAGACTGCCAAGCTAGGGGCTTAACAGCAGGTTGGGCACAACTCCCCAGGCAAGGCCAAACAATGTCAGGAGCCCCCTGCCATCCCAGGCACTGTGCTGGCCTATGCCATTCACCTTGGCTTGCCTGAATGGACATTGGCACTACCTGCCCCAGAGGCTGGGCTCCCCAAGGCTGCAGATAAAATCCAGCCTGAAGCTCCAGAGTCTGGATCCCTGCGCCTCAGCGCCATGCCTGGGCTCTCCACAGAGACTCCCTTTCACACCTGAACTATGCCTGTTGACCTCCCTCCCAGTCACTCAGTCACAAGCATGCTTGCACCAGTTATGTATACCCACAGCATGCAAATACACTACCTGTATATGCTATAAGCACTCACACCACATACACGGGCATGAACTACACATACTCATGAACACATGCACTTAGCTGGACCCACAGCAGGATGGACTCAGGGAGGGAGAAGAGTCTTTTATTTCTGTGTCAGAAGCAGCCCTGTGGTTAAAGTGGACCCCAAAAGAAGCTGGCCTGTAACTTCATCTAGTCTAGAGGAATGGGGCACTCAGTGGGGAATGCCAGTGGGTAGGAGGGCGGAACTCTGGTTCTGCCACCCTGGCAAAGATCTTCCCTGCAGGGTCCAGGAACCTCCTGGTCAGGGCAACTCTCCATCATAAGTCCAGTGGGGAAACTGCAGCTTAGGTGGATATTGGGTGGGTATGTGGGAGGTGCACCGGGAGGGAGACTCCTGGGCACAGGCTGCCAATGGGATTGTGCAGCCACTCCAAATGCCTCAGCAAGACCAGGCGCCCAGAGCCCACGTGGAGCTCTCCTGGACAGGGCACGCTGCCCAGAGATCTGCATATCTCCATAGGCATCTGCCTCGGCCTCACCATCCTGCCAATAACAGATCCTGCTTGTGAAACCCCTTTCCTGGGACTTTGCAGCTGAGCTACTTCCTTTCAGGCAGGGGCAGCAGCATTGGAGGGAAAAGGAGAAGCAGAGAGAGGCTGGACTCTGGACACAAGAGGACACCAATACTGGGAGCTCACAAGCTATCAGGAGAGGGTGACCCCGCAGTTGCACAAGGCCTGAGCATGATGAGGGGAGTCTGTCTAGCCCTCCCTGTCGCCACCTGCCGTACTGCCAGTGGCTGGAGGTTCCCCAGAGGTGGGGAGAAGAGCCGGGCTGGGGCTCGAGTGCCGAGGCTTCCGCATAAACGGGAACACTCTGTGGGGGAGAAGGAGCTGGAGCAAGTGGCTGGAGGGCCTTGTCCCCTCCCTGCAGAGCCCACCACTTGGCAGGCACAGGGCACTGCCCAGGCTCACCGTCTCTTTGTCTCCAGTGGGATCACAGCATCTGCCAGCAGGCCTTTATACATGTCAGACTTCAGGAACCTGGGGTAGGAGTCCTGCAAGAGAATGTGCAACCTGTGGCTCCTTCCACCTCCTCACCCTTCAGCCAGGTCCATCAGAGCACTGCTGGGAACTCCAGCCCACGAAGGCCCCCAGCAATAGGATGACAGCAGCAGCCAGCCCAGACCAAGTCAGACACATCCAGGAACTGTTTCCATCAGTGGGGCCAGGCTAGCCAGAGGGGCAGGACCCACAATGCTCACACATGGAGCGCAAAAGCCAGGATCTCCAAAGCAGGGGCAACAAGGAGTGGGGAGGGCAATGATGCATAGCTACACAGACAGCAAGGTGGTGAGAAACTGCGCGGTTCTAAGGGAAAGGGATCTACAGCCATGTTGCTCATCATGTTTTAAAGGAATAAAAGCCAGGTGTGGTAGTGCACACCTGTGAGTTCAAGGCCAGCCTGCACTACATAGCAAGACTCAAAAAAATAAATAACAACCAATGACCCACAAGAGAATAGAAATAAGTATTTCACCAGTGTCAAAAATAAAAAATTTTAAATTGTTATCTTAGTGGACAGGGGAAATACAGTGGAAGGGCTGGGATAGAAACATTTAAGCAGACTAAAGCACCTGCTAGGCAGAGCTCAGAGGCTGGGGTTCTATCCCCACCGCGCTATGCAGCCCTGCCCCTGGGGCATGCTGAGAGGGCTATTGAGCCATAGCCAGTAAGAGAGTCTGTAGCCCCAGGGCTTGGGAGGCTGACAATAGGAGAATCACTACCGGTCTGATCTACATAGTGAGACCCTGTAGACCCTGTCCTAAAATACAAAAAAACCCTACTTTTAATTTTTTTAATGAAGCTATATATATATATATATATATATATTTATTTTTTTTTTTTTAATTTGGAAGCTATATTTATTTACATGTGTCTTGCTCTATATATTGGATTTGGAAATTGTAGACAGTTTGCATCTAAATAAGTTATTCCCAGACATTGAAAAGAAAGTGAAATAAGACTATGTGTATGGGCTGGCGAGATGGCTCAGTGGTCTAAAGCACCTACTTGGAACAAGCTTGGGAAAGCACAGGGACTGCGGTTCGATCCCCCAGCACCACATGCCAGCCAGCCCCGCCCCCTGGTGGGCTGAGCTGGCCACACACACTATAAATAAATAAATAAATGTTTAAAAAAAAAAAAAAAAAAAAAAATCTTAAAAAAAAAAAAAAGACTATGTCTAGGTGGAAGCATAGCCCTAACCACACCTCAGCACTCTCAAGGGAGTCTCTGATTGGATATAAACAAGAAGTCAAAAAGAAAAGAAAGTTCTCAGTGATCATACTGTATTGCTGAGATCCATAACAGGTGAGAAGAAGCTTGGCTAGAACCAGGACTTTCAGCTGGGAGGCAGGAGGTGGAGACACACTGTCAAAGAGTTAACCTAAGTTGACTGAAGTACAGCAGTATAGAAGCTGGGGATATAGCTCAGCAGCGTAAGCACCTGCCTGGTAAACACAAGACCCTGAGTTTGATCCCTGGTAGCTTAAAAAAAAAATGAAGTACCTCAGTGTGCACTCCTACTATATATATATGTGTGTGTGGTTTTGTTTTTTGTACTGAGACATGGTCTCACCTATGTAGTCTGTCTAAGCTATCCTTTTTTTTTTTTTTGTCTAAGCTATCCTTGAACTTGCAGTATCCTTTTGCCTCAGCCTCCCATATGCTGGGATTACAAGCATGCGCCACCACTCCTAGCATTCCTACTGTCTTCAACACACACATTTTTTAGTGGCAATCTGTAAGGCGTGGGCACAGTGGCGCTCTGGTAATGACAAGTGTCTCTGGTACATAGGCTAGGGGCTTATTGCCCTTGAGAAGGGCCAGTGTTTCCTGTAGTGAGGCAAAGTCCAGATGTGGGCAGGACAGGCCTAGACCATCACCCCAGAAAGGAGGGAACCAAAAGGACTGCAGGGACACATCAGATGTGGCCATGGTTTAAAAGTAACAACAGCTGGGCATGGTGGCACACACGTGTAATTGCAGCACTGAGGCACAAGGATTGCTGTGA